TATATATATTTTCCATGGCATTTAAGGGTTGAAATGACAATAAATTTTATTTTAAAGCAGCATGGGTTTTATGAGGGGGTCCCTGGAACCTTTTATCCTTGTAAGGGGTCTCCAGACCCAAAATGTTAGAGAATCCCTGTTCTATAGAATAAACATGGTTCATCCTCAGTTTTATAAAAAWTTTTTTGAATTCTCAAGAAAAGAATCCTAAGTTGTTTGTGAAATTATATCGTAATAAATGATTGTTAGCAGAGAAGCATGTTTGAAGTGAAAATGATGCACAGTTGGAGATATTTTCCTCAGGGCAGTCAGAGCCAAATGTCACTTTAAAGACACGTTACATAACATCCAAACTGAGTGAAGGTGACTGAAGATATGCTGCAAAAAAAAGATGTTTTTTTATTTACAGATTTATTTATTAGATTGTTGCGATCGCACTGCTTTAGTTGTCCTCCCTGCCTGTGTGCAAACTGTATCTGTGACACACTGTATGTGTTACAAGGTCCTTTTTTTGTCAATTTTTGGGCCAAGGTCTTTCTCTGCAGGCTCTGTTTCTCTAAATCCTCCCATCTTTCATTACCACATCTTTGACAGGCACTGCGTTTTGTTCAGTGTGTCTGTGTGTGTTTAATGAGCTTAATGAGCTAATTATCTTCATTAGTTCAGAGCTCACCCTACACTCTATAGGATGAGTGTTTGTTTCTTAAAGCTGTTGCTGTCTGAAGGACTGAAAAATGACAGCCTTCTTTGCCTTTGAACTCTCTTGAGCAAATTTAGAAATGTCTTTGAGCAAGTTCAAGTTATTTTTGGAAGATGTGTTGCTTTTGGCCTTTTAGGCGCAAATGTTCTTTCTTTAAATATTTTGACATACATGTCTTTTTCTTTTATTCCTCCCTGACTTCTCCGTGTTTTCACTTTTCTTCCTCCTTAAATGCACCAATTTCGTTGCTTTCATTTTTTTCTTCCAAGTCTTTTTTGATTTTTTTCACCTGTTCTATTCCTCCTTATCTGTTTTTATAAGCATCATCTTGTCCTGCATGACTCTTCTGCCCTCTCCATCTTGTTGTGTTGCCGTCTTTAAATATCATCTCTCTCCCTGCCAGTTGGCACGAGCTTCTCTCAGCTGACAGAGGGACATATTGCCTTCTCAACAGACCCCCCCCACACACACACACACACAAACAAAAACACACACTCACACACTACCAAACAATCCTGGGAACACCATCTGTGGAGCCTCACCTCAAACTGTGGGATGAGTTTTGTGGTGCTCAGCAGGCGCCTCGCCTCGTGCCGCTTCAACCTAAAGTCCGTGAAAAATAAGTCACGGTTATATTTTTTGTTTGTTTTTGTCTTTACAATAAAAGACAAAAACATACAAACACAAAAAATAACAAAAAATTACAGCCTTTCAGGATTCAAACTCGTGACTTTTTTTGATTTAAGAAGGAGAGTTTCTTTACTTTTTATTTCTTTAATGATATAAAGCACAAGATGTTTGGTGTTCCACAGTGAAATGAAGCTACTTTTACTGAGCACTAATTAACAAACTTTCATTAATTGTATGTTTTAAATAAAGTGTATTAAGACTCTAAATAATAT